ATATGTGCTAGTGCTATTATGAAATCTTTTGCATCTCTTTCTTTGACAAGGATGCAAGCTCTTGGAAGACAGACTGTGTCATATTTGGTTCTTCTCTGTTTTATGCACACATAAGATAGTTGAAAGTTTTTAAAAACATAAGTGACATTTCTAACCACATTTATTTTCCCAGCACTGGATATGTTCAGTTTTATTACATAATTTTATTAAATATTTATTAAATATTCTATTTTATTAAATATTCTCTCTTGGATAACCCACATGTTTTGCACATCTACTCATTGTATTTGTTCCTTGTTTATTACATATATTACTTAGTGTTACCTGCTGGAATGCCCTTTCTTCTAAATTTGATGAATTCTTCCTGATCTTCAAAGTCCTCCTTGCTGTAAAAAGCTTCCTGAATGCTGCAAAAGGAATTAATCATTTCTTTCTCTGCGCTGCCTCTATTTTTGCATACTGCCACTATTGCAATTACAGCACAGTATTATATTTTTTCTTTAGATCTTGTCTCACAGTGCAATTATAGTAGCATGATAAGGGCTTTGATATATGTGTAATGAGAGTGTAAGGAAGCACTAGCCTTGCTTAGAGAGGATTGCTTGGACAGTGAGTTGGTTGAGTAAATTAAGCAGGGCAGAGATCCCCTAGTTCAACCTCTTCATGTTCTGGCAAGAAAATAGAACCAGAAAGTTTGGGTTTGTTTTTCTATCTGTAAAATGTTGGGTAATCTGTGACTTATGAGTCATAAACTATCAATTATTATTTAGATAATGAAGATTACATTTTGTAGATAATGATCTCATTCTTATGACTATTTTCTGAAGCACAAAACATTTTGATAGGATCTCACTGAACTGCAAGGAAAAATAGCTCTCAAAGTTGTTAAGTGCCCCTGAAAGTCAAAATCAAAAGAACTTGGTTATTGGAAACATAGTAATTTATTTGTCTTCTGTCGATGGTTTCTTTATTAAATAAACAAAGGGCAGCAATTCAACGTGGTACAGTTCAAAAGAACTTTTATTGACTGTGATCTAAAGTGCATATGTTGGGATGGATGCCATGTGGGACACTCAGAAAAGCTGGCCTTTTTGGTCTCTGAAGTCCCTACCTCCTGTGACAATTGGTTTATGTAGAATGTAAGGAACTGATTGCCCTATGGCTTCAAAAAACCTCTGTCACAAATTCAAGGTGGGATTCTGCTGTGGATTTTCACAAGTGTGGAAGCAATCTCCCAGTTCATGCTCTTTCATTGGCAAGTAATTTAGCTGTCATTTTCCCTCAAAACATATTCAAATGAGAAAGTGCTCAGACACAAGTAAATAAACTAGTACTGAAAAATAATAAGGTTCCCAGGGTTAAGGCAGACAGAAGAAATATTGGTGTACATGCTCCACTCCAGAATGTCACCTCCAGAGAAATCAAGTTGTGCGTTGGAGTAGACCTAGAGGGTTTGGAATCAGAGGCGTAGTTCAAGAATCAGTGTTCAGACACTCATTGGTTTGATGACTCTAGGAAACCATTTAACTTGGTTTCTCCATCTTTCAAATGGACACATTTGTTCTAGCCCACGAGTTTCTTATGAAGATCAGAGGAGATCATGTATGCGTTAAGAGTTTATGAACTTCAAGACGAACATGGTAATCACAATAAACTGTCTACCAAGAGGTGAGAAGGAAGGAAAGTAAATGCCTCCTTAGATCAAGTGTTGTATCTGATTTCCGTGTATGAGAAAGAAACCTTTGCTTTCTTACTGCCTTGTGAAACTAAAACATACATGCTAATGTATATTAGAACATGAACTTTAGAGGAAGATATAAGGCATAGGAATATACATGATTACACATAGCACTGTAGAAGCAGGAAATAAGAATTACTTAAAAATAGATGAAATCTTTGGGTCCAGCAAGTGGAGTAGTGGTTAAGGTGCTAGACTCCCACATGGTGAATCACGGTTCAAAGTCCCGGACCTGGTGGTTTAAAAATCACACTGACAATGTGAGTGTGAATGCCCAAAATCTCAGGGAAAGAACAGAGGAGAAAGGATTGCAGGCTGGCCTTCCTCTCAGGGGGGTGATTTCTCGCTTCTCTTCTCATTGTCTCTTTCTGTCTCCCGTAAGCACATGCACCCTAAAGTGATTAATTAGTTACTTAATTAAATATTTAATAAAAATGTAGTAAAATAGTTACCTATATGCCAAATACTGTTATTACCCATTTCGATTATATTAAATCTTCTAATGGTGCACAATCTAGTAGAACTTTAAGGTCACATGGACCTTATTTTCTGACCATAATGTCCAATTTAACTGAAATAGTCCTATCAACACAGGGAAACTGCTTGTAATCATAAGCATTATAATACTTTGCTTAAAGATTCATCAGTAGGATATGCTCTGTAAAAATAATAAGTGCTATGAATTTTATTTGATTCCAATAATATAAAGTTAAAAATTAATAATAACAAAAATTATGCTTAGTAACAAGGAAAGAACTTTAGGCTGCTTTTAAAGATTAATTTGTTAATTAGGTAAATGGCTGAGTTTTGGTTCATCGCTTCCCTTGGAAACCTTGATTAATTTATGAGATTTTTCATCCCTGTTTACAAAAAGAGTAGTGAGTCATTCTGTGTTACACACCAATGACAGAAAAAGTTAATTAGATTCTAGATACTTTCATATTTTTCCCTTTAGCAATTCTTTGCTGCTTTGAGTGGAACCAAACTGTAAGGGAGTCTATGCATTTATTTTTGTGTGAGTGAAATACAGAAATGAAAATTACAAGTAATTGAATAGTGAATTTGAAAAAACATGCATATAGATTTATATTTTCTTTGGTTTTGTGTGAAAAACTCTCAGAGATACGTAATAATAGCCCAAATAAAAATGAATAAATACAAATACCTTGCTAATAATACTTTTTTATAGGATTTTGATTTATGAATCATCTTATTCATGATTATCATTTTTTATATCATATTATTATAATATTGTTACCATTTTAAGAAAGAGCTATTTAAGATTGTGCACTTAGGGGCCAGCAGATGGCATAGAGGTTACATGGCTGGACTCCCGCATGACTAACTACAGTTTAAGTCCCAGATTGGGTCAGTGGCTTGAAACTCATGCTGAGCACATCTGCATGCATGTTCAAGATCCTGGAAGGAGAATGGAGAAGGGATTGTGGCATGACTGTCCACCTGGGGATGATTTCTCACTTTCCCTTTCACTGTCTCTCTTTCTCTCTCTGGTGAGTGCATGTGCCCTAAAGGAAAAACCTATAAAAAAAAAAAAAAAAAAGATTGTGCACTGGGGGCCAACAAGCACCTGGACTCCCATATTGTCGACCAAGGTTTGAGTCTCAGACCTGGTGGCTTGAAACTCACGCTGGGTCTGTGTGTGTTCATGCCCAATCCCAAGAAGATAATGGAGGGGAAGAGACTGCATCATGGCCATCCCCTCCCCTTCTCACTTTCTGTCTCTCTAGTGAGTGCATGTGCCTTATAGCAAAAATTTCTCAAAAAAAAAAAAAAAAAAAGATTGTGGTTTTGGTGCCAGCAGTTGGCATAGTGGTTAAGGCACTGGACCCCTACATGGCAGACTGTGGTTTGAGTCTCAGACCCAACAGCTTGAAAATTACTCCAGAGGGGCCAGCAGATGGCATAATGAATGTTTACATTGCTGGACTCCCATGTAGTCAACCAATCACACATAGTCAACTGCGGTTTGAGTCCTAGACCTAGTGACTTAAAACTCTCGGCAGAGCATAGTCTTTGTGTCCAAAATACCAAGAGGAGAATTAAGAAGGGATTGTGGCATAGTCATCCCCCCTGGGGTGACTTCTCTCTTTCCTTCCCTCTGTCTTGAGCACACATGCCCTATGGCAAAAACTCAGAAAAAGAAAAAAAGAAAGAAAGAAAAGAAAAGATTGTGGATGAGAATGCTTCAGGGTTGAATTTAGGAAGGGGATGCAGAGATGCAGCCATAGTCGATTGTAGTTAGTGTCTGTCCTTCAAATAAGAGATGCATCTGCCAAGAAAACAGCCCCAAGGAAGGAGGGCAGACAGGACGGAGAATATAGGGGTGAGGTAGATGGAGCTGGAGTGGATGGGTAACTGTAAGAACTGATGCTCTCTCTTGGTCCTACAAGGAAATAGCAATGTATTTCAGACTCTGGCACATATGAATTGCATTCAGCTTAAAAACCCCTCCTGAGATGTATACCTGAGTATGCCACATGATCTCAGTGGTATAAAACAATATTCACAGATGAAAGGGAATTCATTGCACTGATTATTAACCTCACTCCTACTTTTACTTTGCCTCTCGTTTCCCTTCATTCTGTTTTCTTTATCCACTTTATTTTGGGGTGTATATTTTGTCTTTTACATTATGCATTTATGTGAACAACCATAAGTCCTTTCTGGAGCTGGAAGGAGAATAAATACATACAGAACCAATCAAGGGAAATGCTAGTAGGTTATTTCTGAAAGGCAATATTGCAGGTGATTTTGTCTTCTGGCAAGTTCTCTACATTTCCAAGTATACATATATTTGCACAACGAACATGAATTATTTTTCTGATCAGATAAAGTAATTTTTTTACTAAATGCAGAATAAAATATTTGTAATAGATTGACTTTCCCAACACAAAAATATATAAGGGTGGTAAGAGAGAAGACCAGATAGGAGTCATGGGATTTGATCTCAATTTTCTTTTCGTCATGTGCTTCTATTAAAATGTGAGAAATAATGTGTAAAAACAGCAGTTTGCTTGAAACACCTTTAAAATCTATTCTTTTAAAAAAATTTCTTTTCTTCTGTGTAAAGTAATAGGCCAGAAAAGAGCAAGATTCTTATTTTAATAGTTCTCTATGATCAAAATGTATTGCATATGGGGAAATAAGGATAGAAAACCCTAATTTTACATATGACTTTTAGGTAACATTTTTATTCTACAAGACAGAGAATCAAGGCCACATAAAATCAAAAACAGAATAATTTATTTGAGTCCATATTTCCTTAAACAAAATAAAAATAGGACTTCATTAAGCCACTTCCTTATGCATTTCACAAGTATTTTCATAAACATCATTGGCGGTTTACAACCAAGGAGAAGGCATATTTCTCACGTTTGTGACAAGCATTCTTATTTCTTTGTGCTACAAATAACAAGAAAGAAATTCGGGAATAAAGTAAAAACATAAATTTAGCAATCTTAACAGTGATAAGAATTTAATAAAACAAAGCCTGTTGAGAAGTTTACAGATATAGTTTCCACCTTTGTAGGTGAGATAGGATAGGGCTGATGTTGATGAAAGAGAAAGGACAGACTGGAAACTAATGGGAAGAAATTCGTTAAAAAAAGAGTGCTTGGAAAGCCCATCCTTTTCTTCCTCCCAATCAGCATAATAAAGACTGTCCACTGGGGAATATTTCCCCATCACATTCCTGTTCTTCTGTTACATACGATATTATGTATATGCTGGAAAATCTGTATTCCAATAAATGCCTCTATCTGCAAAATAATAAGTAAGAGGTATTGGGCTTCATTTTTCCATTGAGTCTGGATGAATATAAATTTCCACTGTTTTTCCCCAAAATGTTCATTTCCTTTTTTCATTCCAATGCTCTGCTTTGCCCTTGAAAGCTCACCTGGAAGAGATAATACAAGATATATAAACTTCTATAGAAAAGAAAAGAAACTTAAATTTTTAATTTCTTTTCATCATGGCAAAAAATAAAAGTGTTTTGAGCTAGTTCAAGAAACCTAATCAACCAAATATAAATAGTAAGCCCTAAATTCTGTAGAAAATTTCTTTTCTTTTCTTTTCTTTTTTTTTTTTTTGAGAGTTTTTTGCTATAGGGTGTGGGCGCTCGCCAGACAGACAGAGAGAGACATAGAGACAAAAAGTGAGAAATCACTCCCCAGGGGGGGATGGTCATGCTGCAATCCCTTCTCCTCCATTCTCCTCTAGGGATCTTGGGCATGCATGCACATGTGCCCGGTGTGAGTTCTAAGCCACCAGGTCTGGGATGTGAACCGCGGTCGACTACGTGGGAATCCAACGACATAGCCATTACGCTAACTGCTGGTTCCCTGTAGAAAATTTCTTTTGGAACTGAAAGTTTACTCATTTGAATGTTCCATTTTCAGGATACTAACAGCCAGCCTGGGGATCTTAGTACAATGTGCCAAGGGCATTTCATTTAAATGAATATAGCCATAAGTTTAATAACAAATAATTTGACTGATTACTGGAATATGAACGCAGACCAGTTTACCAATTTGTAAACACCAGTCCAATTAGGTAATAGCCATGTAGCCAAGGAAGTAACACTGTTGGAATATTCTGAGAGTAAGAATGAAACTATTTGTAGTTCCTACCTCAGAAGAGATAGTCAAATAAAACAAGACAGGCAGTAAGTTATGATTCTTTCCTCAGAGCTGGGCACTCACTTTTTTTTTTTTTAGGTTTTTGCTATGGGGCGCGTGCGCTCGCCAGACAGGCAGAGAGAGACAGAGAGATAGAAAGCGAGAAATCACCCCCCAGGGAGGATGGTCACGCCGCAATCCCTTCTCCTCCATTCTCCTCTTAGGATCTTGGGCACGCACGCACACGCGCCCAGTGTGAGTTTTAAGCCACCGGGTCCGGGAGGCGAACCGCAGTTGACCCAGCGACATAGCCATTACGCTAACTGCTGGTCCTGGCACTCACTTTTAAAGTGGGAGTGGAGAGACTAACCACCAGTAACACTGAATTCTTTCTGAAATTGATTTTTAAATTTAATTGAACCTAGAGAATTAAAAATAAGCAATCAGGAGAGAGAAAATGGCTTCTACCCTATAAGTATTTATTCAATTGAGGAATATTTATTTTATTAAGGATCACTAATATTTAGTTAAAATAAGCAAATGGGAGCCCACTAAACTATGTAATCCTTAGAAGACTGAGACTTCTGGGAACCAGCAGTTAGCGTAATGGCTATGTCGCTGGACTCCCACGAAGTCGACTGTGGTTCACGACCCGGACCCGGTGGCTTAAAACTCACGCTGGGCGCGTGTGCATGCGTGCCCAAGATCCCGAGAGGAGAATGGAGGAGAAGGGATTGCGGCGTGGCCATTCCCCCTGGGGGGTGATTTCTCGCTTTCTGCCTCTCTGTCTCTCTCTGTCTGGCGAGTTCACGCGCCCTATAGCGAAAACCTCTCAAAAAAACAAACAAAAAAACCATGAGACTTCTTTAATATTTCTCCCTAACACATAATAAATATCCTCAAAATGTTTGTGAATTTATTGTAAACAAGATTAATGTAGTGACCAGATGGTGGCTCAGATGCAAGCCTGACCCACATGGGGAGGTTCTGGGTTAGTGTCCAGGGACCTCCCTGAGCACATTGAGCACTCGATACCGAATGTGCTCATGACCGAGGGCTAGCTGAAGCCAGATGCAGACTGTCACATCAACATGCTATTGTGGATGTCATTTCTCTGACTCTTTTACTCATGGAATCAATAAATGAATAAACTGAAAAAAAAAGATATAGGCAAAACAGTCTCTGATGAAAAAAGAAAAATTTTACTTAAATTTTTTTTTAAATTTAGAATAGATAACATAAATCTGTATTCAAAGAAAATAACACTTAAAAAATGTTAGCTCTCCATTTTAATGATTTGGAAGACAGAGAAGAATTTTTAAAAGATATTATTGAAAAGGGAGACAGTCTTGCAGGGCAAGAGAGAAAAAGAGAAGGGAAGATTCAAAGAAGTCATCAGATTTGGCTGTGGTAGTGCATGCTGCTAAGGCTGTGTTCCCCAGCGGGGGCCATATGAAGGCCTGGGAGACCCCTGGTCCAACCTAAAGGCTAAGCGTGGTGGAATGTGCCCATGGTACCAGTGACTCAAGAGGCTACGGGATAAGGATTACACTCTTGAGCCTGACTTGGGCAACATAGCAAGGCCTTGTCTGAAAGACCCAGGTGTGGTAGCTTGTACCCGGGGTCCCTGGGAGGGGCCAGGTGATTTTCTATAGAGCAGAATCCCTGTCTTTAAAAACAAACAAACAAACAAACAAAAACAAAAACAAAAGAAAGTGAAGACACACATACACAAACAACAACCAAAGGGGGAAAAAAAAAAAAAGAAAAAGAAGAAGACAGGAAAGAAGGAGGTAAGAGAGGGGCTGGGGAAACAGAATGTTACTGAGGTTGGGCCAGGAACATGAGTTGGTAGTTTGGGACTTGCCTTCACAAGGAGCATGTCCTCAATAGCAGTTCAAAACAGTCCTTTATGTGCTTGAGGAAAAAAATATCTCTGCTTTATTTTCAACCTTTTACATTTATTTCTGAGACCTTTTTAAAGAATCATTTATTTAACTGTATTTATTATTACTATTATTATTGCTTAAATTTGCACTAGAACACATGTGCTCACCAGAGAAAGAGAGAGAGAGAAAGTGAGAAAGCAAGCTGCTGGGACTTGAACCACGGTTGGCCGTGTGGGGATTCAGCACCTTAGTCACCACACCATCTGCTGGCCTCTGGAAGTAGACTTATATATTCTCAAGAGCTCTAAGGATTTTGCTGTTTGAAAGGCATCTAGTTTCAGAGGGTGATGTTTCCTGCAGAATTATTTTTTTGACAGGCAGAAATAACCGAATCACTCTATTTTGTGTTCTAAAATATATCCTCTAATTTTCTATTATAGAAAGTAAAGAGATTACATGTCATTTTAGAGAGTTTTTTTAACTATCATGAAAAAAATTCCACTCTTGTGTTCTATTACATTAATAATGTGATTTTTAAACCAATTTTGTTTTCTTCTCAAGCCAGAAGGTCCTAATTCCATCAAAAATCTGTTTCTAATTTCCCTGACTCTAGGTAAATTTCTCTGATCAGGTTCTCAGAAGTGTCTTCCACTGATTTAGTTCTTAAATTACTGAATAGTCCCTCTGGGACTGGATTTCCTCTTCATAAGACGATTTCCCATGCATTCATTCACTCCTAGCTGTTGTTTTTGGTGTTTTCCCAGAAGTGTGCATGAATTTCTTTGCTGAAACTGTTTCTTTTGCCAGAGGGGAAGTTCCTCTGTGTGGTTATTGATGTTCTTTTTAAAGTCAATAAATGGCAAATAAAGAAATGATGGAAGATGATTTGTGGCAGTTATGCCTTCAGGCAGCTACAACCCACAAAAACAGAGAAGCTCATTTCATTACTGCAAAAGATGGTAGGCTTAGTTTCTCCAGGGCAGAGAAGGGAGGGCAGCTGCTTAGTGGCAGCCTTGGGCTGCTCTGGATAAGACTTTCTGGCTTCAGCCTCAGCACAGGTTTTGTCCTCTGGGGCGAGAGCCCTTCTCATTTGGGAATAGACAACTTTGCACTGACAGAGGTTGGGCATTTGATGCTTACTGTGCTGGGGACTTTGTGTAGGTTCTTTTTATTTTTTTTCCTGCTCCTGTTTTCAATGGCACATCACCACTGCTCAAAAACTACCATGGACAGGGAACCAGCAGTTAGCGTAATGGCTATGCCGCTGGACTCCCACGTAGTCGACCGCGGTTCGCGTCCCGGACCCGGTGACTTAAAACTCACGCCGGGTGCGTGTGCGTGCGTGCCCGGGATCCCGAGAGGAGAATGGAGGAGAAGGGATTACGGCGTGACCGTCCCCTCCGGGGGGTGATTTCTCGCTTTCTGTCTCTATGTCTCTCTCTGTCTGGCGAGAGCACGTGCCCTATAGCGAAAATCTCTCCAAAAACAACAACAACGACAACAAAAACAAACTACCATGGACACATGAAAATCATTGCGATAACCAAAATCCCTTGAGAACTGGTTAGGGCATTCCTTTTCATACCAGATGTGGATTCCTTGGGGAAATACTATGAGAGGGAGTAATATACATAAAAGACAGTTGATTCTGGAGCTCTGCATCTGGTTCACTGGCCTGAGTATGTGGCTCCTCCAGATGTTTGTGTGCTTGCCTGTTCTAGCTCTCAACATTATTTTCAGGCGAAGTGTGTTTAAATATCCAGAAGCTACAATCTCCTATTTTAAAAGTGGGTGGTTGGGAAAGTCATGATGCATTTTTTGCATAGATAAACAGAAAAATATGTCATGATATTCCCAAAGACTTAGTATTTTTCTTGGGGGTCTTTCAATAAATTCTGAGGAAAGCAGAGGGAAATGCTGGGTCTTTCCATAGCACCACCAAATGCATATTCATACTTACTCTGGATGGTCTTGCTGTTGAGCAGGGATGTGTTGAATAACTTCATAAATTGTACTGTGTAAACCTTGCCCTGATATGCCATCAGAGGCTGGGAGAGACCTACTAGGCATCTGGAAAACGTGGCACATGCAAAAAGAAATTAGCGTAAGACTAGTAAACAGAATTCTGCTATTCTACATAGTTGAAAACAACTGGCAGTCGTGGTGACTGAAGGGTTAGGACTGTTGGTCATCCCTAGACTGTTTATCTTCTCCTTGCTACAGTGTTCTGCACTGACCCTACGGTAGTTAGTGCACCACATAGCTACAAAGTCAGAAGAGAAACTGCTTGACAGAAGCTATCACTTTTTTTCTTCATTTAAGAATAAAGCTTGCAGTACTACAAAGGAAATAGAATAGAAAAAAGAGCACAAGAGGAGATTTCAGGACAGCTTACAATTGGAGAGCATATACTTTTTTTTTTTGGAGAGGTTTTCACTATAGGGCACGTGTGCTCGCCAGACAGACAGAGAGAGACATAGAGACAGAAAGCGAGAAATCACTCCCCAGGGGGGATGGTCACGCCGCAATCCCTTCTCCTCCATTCTCCTCTCAGGATCTTGGGCACGCACGCACACATGCCCAGTGTCAGTTTTAAGCCACCGGGTCTGGGACGCGAACCGCGGTCGACTACGTGGGAGTCCAGCGACATAGCCATTACCCTAACTACTAGTTCCCGAGAGCATATACTTTTATATTACATCTCAATCATACTTTGATGTGATTTTACAATTACATGCACAAGGGTAGCTTCAAAGAAAGAATGATGGACAGTCAAAAGTCTTCATCCCATTGCAAGTGAGGAGAGAGAATGCCAAGAAATATAGAACACAGAAAAAGAGACAGATGTTTTGGTTTGAGTGCAGTAACGGGCTCTAAAACTACATGGTGGCAACAATGTGGAAAGAATAGCAATGTCTTTATGTATGGTTAAAAAAAAGTATTTTATCAAAACTGGCATTTGCGTATTAATCCCCATACCTCATATTTCATGATATCCTTCTTCCTGTAAACACTGCCTTCTAACTATTTAGCCAAAGCCTGGGTCTCCTCCTTATCCTATCCACTTCTTATTTCCATTATACTTCTGTCCGTTTTCAGCCCTTCATGGTTATATGGCTTCACCTCTTGTCCCTTCTTAGGTCTGAAGAGTTCCTATCTCATCCCAATTTGCCTACTAAGGTATAGTGATGCATCTTAATCTTATGCTTTTCTGAAAACTGCCTGTTCCCATTTTAATCAATAAAGCTCTCATAAGCTATTCTCATATGGAGGGGGGCATTCAAAACAATTACGGAAATGTATATTATGAAAAGCTATGCATAGATTTCAAAAAATGTTTAGCAACAAACTAAACTCGTACTTTAATTCTAGTTTTCTGCCCGTACCTATTGGTCATGCCTGTGATCTTGGCTACCTGAAGCTGGGGTAGCTTGTGGCGTGTGCTTCTTTTTCTCATGGGAGAAATAAACATTTTTTTTAAAAGGAACTCTACTTCAAAAATGTAATCATAAGTATTCTTAGCTTTTTAGTTTCCTGCTCTCCCATCTGAAGCCACACCTCAGAGGGGTGCTCTCGCATGGTGAGAAGCTGTTTGGAATAACTGGTCCATCAAATATTTATTTTTGACTTCTTGGTTGTGGAACTGAAGGGTGAGCCAGTCCTGCCTGAGGTTGAATAGGGCTTTGCAAAGCCTCTGCAGGGGCGTTCTCCCCTTCACTGTGACAGTGTGGACACGGGTGCTATTGACTCACCCTTAGGGAGGATAAAAGCCAATTAATCTCTCTCCATTACACACATGCCATTTCTGAAATAAAGCCCATGGCTGGGAAACTTACTGGAGGAGACTTCCACATTGATAGAATGCTATGACCAAATGAAGTAACCAGTGGTGATTAACAAGAAATGATTCTTTCAAAAAACAAAGATAAGAATGTCCAAAAGCAAGTAATCTGTTTATATCCTCTTCTTCAAGTGGACTATCATAGGGGGATATTGAAACAACAAAAAAAAATGGATCCTATACAAATTTATAAATGTGTAATGAGCTGATTAAATTGGAGGAACATTTTGCATATCTGTTAAACGAAACTGATTGAAATACTTTTTTTTTTCAGATAAAAAAATGGCTTCAATTGTATAAAAGCCCTCCCCCCACTTCATGCACATCTAGGATAAGCAAAGATGTACACCTGTTTACTTTGGGTCTATAGGGTGACTTTCATCTGAAGAACGTGAGGTGCATTCAAGAGTATGAATAATTGTCTTTGCAATGTCCTTAGGAGATAGGAGGAAGAAATAAAGGGGAAACTGAGAGAGCTGAGTAGTGACAGGCTGAAGTCACCAAAGGGTTGCAGAATGATTTAAACCAGATTCTCCTGATCCTCTACACAGTCAGTTCTCTTAAACTTCAACCTAGTTAGTTATCTCTTTGCTGAGCTTGCCCCAGGTAAAGAATTTGTCTTAATAAGCACATCTTTCTTATTTTGACTTATACATAAACTTAATTTAAACTTCCTTAACTTTACTTATAAAGGCTGACAAAGATGCCTTAGCTCCCTAGATCTGGAATGCCCCTCTTAGAGTAAGTCAGCACTGCTCAACTCAAGTGATGGGTAAATGCACCCACTTGACAACACCACCCAAATGCTTAAATGAATGCTGCTTACACCTCTGGTGAAGCAGAATTCTATTTCTTGGTTAATCAGCCACTAGAAAAACCAACCCTGGGAACACCAGAAGCTTCTGGAAAAGCAACAAATTCATATATTCCGAAGTCATCCAGAGCATCTTCATGGCCTGAAATGGAAAACAAATAGTACTTAGCAATCAAATGTTTTGATTTGTCAACATTTTTTCTTTTTAGTTTTCTTTTTGTTTATTTGTTTGTTTGAATAGGGTGTGTGTGCTTGTCAAAGAGAGGCAGAGAGAGAGAGAGAGAGAGAGAGAAAGAGAGAAAGTGACAAATCATCCTCCAGGGAGGATGGCCACCCCACAGTCCCTTCTCTTCCATTCTCCTCTTGGGATTTGGGGCATGCATGCACACATGCCTGTCATGTTTTTCAAGTCATTGAGTCTGGGACCAGAACTGTTCAGTCAGCCATGTTGGATCCAGCCACCTTAATCTCCACAACACTTGCTGGCTTGCTACTGTCTTTAAAACCTGTTGGGACCAGCAGTTGGTGTAATGGCTATGTCACTGGACCCCCATGTAGTCGACCATGGTTCGAGTCCCAGACCTGGTGGCTTAAACTCACACCGGGTGCTTGTGCGTGTTTGCCCAAGATCCCAAGAGGAGAATGAAGGAGAAGAGATTGCGGTGTGGCCATCCCCCTGGGGGGTGATTTCTCCCTTTCTATCTTTCTATCTCTCTCTGTCTTTCTGGTGAGCACACGCGCCCTATAGCAAAACAACAACAACAACAATAAAAACCCCAAAACAAATCAAAACAAAAAAGAAAACCTCTCCAAAAAATAAAACAAGAAACAAACCTGAGTAAGACTTATCTTTATTGTCTGCTTTAAGTAATATGTATATAAAACCAATTTCATATTTCCTAATCCACTGTAGCCATATTGCCATTAAGTAGTGTTGGAAATCACTCCTTCTGAATAGTCAAAATACACACATTTGGGCAGGCCTGCCCTTTATGAACCTCTGTTAGGTGAGATTCATGGACACCAAGGCTTTAGCCTGAAATTCAGAGTAGTCTTTGATCCACCCATAACCTCTCCTGCACCCTGCTAGATCTAACATACCACTAGAACTGAAAAGAATAAACAGACACCTAGAGCTGCCTCTATGTGCAAAACACTATATAACACTGTATCAATATCAGTGAAATCATCATCTATAAAATGATAGGGGTGGAAGTGGTTGGGAGGAATCAGGTGTCTTGGGTTCTCCCAGCTGTGATAGTCTATCCTTTCTACAAGGAAGGGCTAGGTAAGATGAAGAAAACTCACATTTAATAAGCATCCAGATATCACATGAGACACTACTTACATCATTTTATTTAATGTTCATAGCAACTTTAGGAGGAAGTTTTTATCTCCATTATATAGATGCAGACGTTGAGGTCAAGAAAAATAATCAATTGACCTAAGGTGACATAGGGAGGAAGTAGCATATACGAAACTAAAACTTGGCTCCCCATGACACCAAGATGTGAGCAAAAAAGCTCCATTCTTGTAGTTACTCAGTACAGAGTCAAGAGTAAGGGTAACAAAAGACACACTGGAGATAAAGAAGCTGCACTGACCCCTGTCAAACCTTCCTTCTCCTCTCTGGGACGGAGCTACCTTTAGAATTAAGAGTGAGAGCCCTTAGGCATTTTCAAAATAATAATAGCAGGATCAATGGATTAACAGAATCAGTGAGTGAGGGCAAATGACTTAATCTCTCCGAGTCTTAGTTTCTTGCCTATAAAATGGAGCCAAGAGTACCTTCTAAATTTATCTTACAGACTTGTGTCACTTACACAAAACCAATATGAGGAACAGCATTTTGGAAAGTGAAGGCACTATTGAAAGTTAAGGGGGCCAGCAAGTGGTGTAGTGGTTAAGGTGCTGGATTCCCATGTGGTCGACGGTGGTAGAAGTCCCAGAGTTAGCGGCTTAAATCTCACGCTATGCTATGCATGTGTGTATTAGGGCCCAAAATCCCGAGAGGAAAATAGAAGAGAAAGAATTGTGATGTGGCCAGATGGGGGTGTGATTTCTTGCTTTCAGTCTCTCTGTCTCTGTTTGTCCAGTGAGCACACACCCTATAGCAAAAAAAAAAAAAAAAAAAAAAATCTCAAAAAAGAAAACAAAAAGAAAGTTAAGGGACTGTTAGTGTTATATTAATATTATCTTATATGAATTCTATTAAAGTGATAATAAATTATACTTAATAATTAATAGCAATAATATTAATTAATATACATTAACATTGACAATAGGACATCTCAGCCTGATCATTACCTGAAAATGTTTGAGCTTTTCTGTATTCTGTTTCTGGCCTGAAAAGACAAATAAGTATTTCTGTCAGAGATAATTCAGGAAAAAACATTCACCAAAGAAGTTATTTTGATAAAAACATATGCATTACCTGTTTTCTAGCTTCTGTTTAAAAACTAAAATTGAGAGAGAGAAAATATAGTAAGGGACTTTTTAGTAAATAATATGTAAGAAAACATTTCTGATTTGACCTACCTTTGCAAGGTTGGTATTTTTTCCATAGGTAGAGAAGGCACATGGACATAATTAAAAATAGTGATATTCCAGTTATACTCGCTAAAGGGGACAATGATTTTCCTTTTTGTGCAAGCTTCTCCAGTCCTATATAAAGACAAAGAGTTTTTAAAATAAAGCACTATCTAATTTGACTTATTTATGCCTTACCTTAAATGGGACACTGTTGAAAATATCTAATAGAGAGAGAGAAAGAGAGAAAGGCAGAGAGGGACACCACATGGAAGGACTGCCCTTGTTTTAGCACATACACTTCCCTAAGATATTTGTGATTGGAAATCATCTGAGTTTCCCAGGATAAAACTGATGTAGCAAATAACAATGATCTCATTGTCTCTACTTCCCCAATAAAGGTGGTTCTCTCCTTCCAGGTTTCTCTTTTGGGGAAAATAAATGCATAAATAAAAATAAACAAACACAAACTTTATAATTATTCTTACATTTCCTAAATTTACATTTAGTCACTGTGTACCTTTACAGTGTACAAGATGGGTTTCACCAGCATGGATGCAGTGTGTATCAGTCAAGTCAAAGATCTTACCATGTACATCTTCATCAAAAAATAACTTTTCCTGGGGAACCAGCCGTTAGCATAATGGCTGTGTCGCTGGACTCCCACGTAGTCGACCGCGGTTCGTGTCCCCGACGAGGTGGCTTAAAGTCACGCCAGGTGCGTGTGCGTGCATGCCCAAGATCCCGAGAGGAGAATGGAGGAGAAGGGATTGTGGTGTGACCATCCCCCCTGGGGGGTGATTTCTTGCTTTCTGTCTCTCTGTCTCTGTCTCTATGTCTCTCTCTATCTGGCGAGTGCACGCGCCCTATAGCGAAAACCTCTCCAAAAAAGAAAAAAAGAAAAAGAAAAAACATGCTGAGCACATGTCTGTGCACCCACAATCCTAACAGGATGAATAAATGTAGGAGAAGGGATTGCAGTATGAACTTGCCTCATCGAGGGTACTTTCTCCAAAAAAAAAAAACTTTTCCTGCATGTGTCTGTTAATGTTCTTCCCTCCAGCCTCTCCTTTCTGCCCATGTTACCCACCTGCTCCTGTACTGTCTCTGGTATGTACAGTTGCCGTCCCTTCTTTTCTGTATTTATTTCTTCTTATTATTATTATTTACATTCAATCACTGTGTATCATTACAGCATAATGTAATGGAAAAATGCATTTTCCCATCCTGAATACATGGCATATTGAGTCAGTCAGAGATGTTTCCATACATATTATCATCAACAGATAATTTTCCATTTCTTTGTCCCTTAAATATGTTGCTTCTTTCTTTTTCCCTTTCACCTTCCCCCACTTCTGTTCCTCCTTCCACAGTCTCTGGCATCCACAGTTGCTCTCCACGAGTTATTCTGCCCTCTCCTTTTTCCGTTTCTGCCACCCAGCTTGCTCTTTGAGCATAATTCGAACATGTGAATTCTCTAGGGAGGTGGTAGTAAACGAAAGTTGCAAGAGAGAAGGTGTTTATTTCAAATACACTTTACTGACTTTTGGCTAATAATAAAATGCCAATTTTTAAAATAGAAAGCCTGTGATTTTTCAATAAACTACTTAAAATTCTACTTTGTGACTAAAATTCACTTTGATTTGTAAGTTGTTGCCTTTATTAATGTCAGTCTATAAAATACGGTGCTAATAGCTAACATCTGTTAAGTACTTTCAGGTTCTGTTATAAGGTATATGTTCTTTATTAACTCAGTGAACCTTCACAGCAATCTTATTAGGGCACTATGATTTTACCCTTTCTAAAAGGTGATGCAGGAGCTGAAGCTTGCCCAAGGTCACTCAGGTTATTAGTCATAGAGTCCAGATGTAGTTCCAGGCTTTTCATGCTTTACGTTGCCTCCCTTTAATGCTATTTCTTTTTTTTTTCACATTATGTATTTATTTTTTTTGTATATACTTTCAATCATATTGTTTGGCTTACAATGAGACCATTTCGATATGTGAACATTTCTCCCCAGACCCGTTGATCAAAATATCTTCAACAGATAACACCACGCCTCCCCATCCCGTCAATGCTCTACCTCTGTATCCCTTCTCCAAATGTCCTTCGTTAGCTATTTTAAGACCATTTATTAACCATGGCTCTGTTAATACCAGCTCCAGACTCTAAGATGTTTAGTCACATAGCTGATCTATATAGCTGGGCAGAGTTGTGACCTCCAACAAATCTGAATAACAGAGGTCTTCCACGTTATCAAGTGAATCAGATATTGATGTGAAAGTAAATCATGGCATTTTCCTGTCTCTGCTCATATTAATGTGAGAATGAAAGTCAGGTGGCTTTTCTCCCACGGCGGTGGAGAACTGGGTTTGCTGAGGAACATGGGGGCCACCCAGCTTTCCATCCTGTTGTTCTCCACCGTAAGACTCCGCTGAAGTTCTTCAAAAGCCAAAATAAGCCATCATCCTTTCCTTCTGTCAGTATGGACCTATATACACTCTCTGTATTTTTCACTTAGAATACTTTCAGTTTCTAATCTTTCCAGAATCTTTTCCCAACATAATGCAAGTCAGCTACTCCAAACTAGTTAACGCATCATGGAAATCAGGTGATCTCTTCTCATTTCTAATATTATTCACATATTTCCCTTAAGTTCTCAAGAATCAGATGATGCTGTTTTACATTATCTAAACTCTTCACCATCCCTGTCTGATAAGTTTATACATTTCTAAAGTGTGCTCTAAGAGTTGCATTCTTACAATGATCTTCTGTGGGATTATAACTGCTACATAATATCACAGTCTTTAAACTCACCTTTTTTTTTTTTTTTTTTTTTTAGGACTTTTGCCATAGGGCTTATGCACTTGTCAGAGAGAGTCAGAGAGAGACAGAGATAGGCAATGTGAGAAATCACCCTCCAGGGGGGATTGCCACACTGCAAACCCTTCTCCTCCACTCTGCTCTCAGGGTTTGGGGCATGCATGCACATGCACCTAGTGTGATTTTCAGGCCACCAGTTCCAGGACTTGACCTGTAGTTGGCCATGTGGGAATCCAGTGCCTTAACCACTATGCCACCTGCAGGACCTTTCAGTTTACTTTAAAGCCACTTCACATTTATTTCTTCTATCTAAAGCTTAAACTAGTTTTAAATTTTAATAGTTTTATTTATTTATTTATTTATTTATTTATTTATGGAGAGGTTTTTGCTATAGAGCACATGCACTCGCCAGAAAAACAGAGACAGAAAGTGAGAAATCACCCCCCAGGGGGGATGGCCATGCTACAATCCCTTCTCCTCCATTCTCTTCTTGGGATCTTGGCATGTATGTACATGCGCCTGGTGTGAGTTTAAGCCACCAGGTCCGGGACTTGAACTGCCGTCGATTGCATGGGAGTCCAGTGACGTAGCCATTACACCGACTGCTGGTCCCAAAGTTTAATAATTTAAAATCAGTTTAAAACTAGGCTATATATTTGTAAGTTATACATTTTATCATATAAAGGATATAAAGTACATACAAATAAGAATAAAATATGCAACATTCTCTATTCCATATGGAATACTTTCATTTATTTTTGCTAAAATTTTGTACCTGTAGTCAACTTCTTGGTGAAATTCAACCAGTTTTTGACAAAATAAGACTCCAAATATGCTTAATTATTGTCCAATTCAGAAATTGCTTACATTATTGGTAAATGTAGCTTCAATATAATTGTTAGTTAATATTTAAGAAGAGTGAAGCAACAATGACAGACACTGGGCTTTATCTATCAGTGGTATATGTGATTTCTTGTTGAGTTGAATAATAGTTTTGAATACTGTAAAAGTATTTCTCCAGTTTTCTTGTGCCATATGTGATGAAATGGCTACAAACACAATATACATTTAATTTGAATGTGCATTTTCATTTTCTACATCACTTCCTTTTTTCTTTTCTTTTTTTTTTTAATTATCAAAGGTACTTGTGCTCACCAAAGAGAGAGAGAAAGAGAGAGAGAGAGAGAGAGAGAAAGCAACGCCCAGTAGGGTGTGGTCATACGTAATCCTATTTCCTCCGTTTCTCTATCCTATTAGGATTTTAGGCATGCGTACATGTCCAGCATGTTTTTATTTATTTATTTTTTAAAATTTGCTAGAGGATGCAAGAAGAGATGGACATTGAGAGAGAGAGAGAGAGAGAGAGAGAGAGAAAGAGAGAGAGAAGGTGAGAAGCTACACCCCAATGGCCACATTGCAATGGCCACAGGGCAAGCCTGTCTCCTCTATTTTTCCGTCTGGATTTTGGGCACATATGACACCTGCCGAGTGTATTTTTCAAGCTGATGGGTCTGCCCAATTGCCCATGTGGGATCCAGCCACCATAATCATCATGCCACCAACTGGCCCCTAGTGTTTTTTTCAAACCACCAGGACTGAGACTCTAACCAGTTGGCCATCTGAGAGTAAGCTCACTATGCATATTGCTTATCTGCCACACCATGGGGCCGACCTTTCTTTCATTTTCTTAAGTGTAGATGATCTAATTCTAGAGCAGGGAGTCTAGGACTCCCTGAATTTCAAATAGTTCTGTATTTTAATTATGAAGTTAAAAATTTGCAAGTTTTCATTGAGATTTCTTACTGACCCATAGGTCATTTAGAAGCATGTTGCTTAGTTGCCTTAAATTGGGCAATTTCTAGTTTTTTTTTCTGTGATTGAGTTTTGGTTTAATCTCATCCTTGTGAAATTTGTTTATTTTTTAAAAATGACTATAAAGCATGAATTTTATCAGCAACAAATTGGACTTTTAAATCTACTTTAACAATATTAGTCACTGAGTTAGAGTATTTAATCCACTAACACTTACTTTGATTTCAACCTACAATTTTATATTTTTTCTGTATATTTTTAAAAGTTTATTTCTTCAGTCTGTGAACAATAAAGATGGTGGGGTGCAGATAGATGGACATTCCTAACTGGGTCGACATGCAGTGATTCATGCAGATCATGGGCATCTGTATACCTGGCATATACGTGGGAGGTCTCCCCGTGTGAACCTGGAACCTTCTCACGTGGGTCAGCTTCACAGGTCATTGCATCACCTCTACCACTACTTGGCCTCTACTCTCTGTATATTTCATATATTTTAA